ATTTCAAGTTGGTCACATAAAGTCTCTTTAACCTTTTAATTACAATTTTACACATCGATATGTATTTAATACAGTACTAAGTTTGAATGTATGAAATTTCTAAATTGTGAGAAAAAAATTATAAGAAAAAATGGTTTATATTGAATCTTCTAAGAGTTTGTATTGAAAACTAGAGGTAGCCCTACCCTGTGAATTAATCCTGAATTACCTGTGTTTTCTGGTATTCTATCAAAACCTGCAGTCGCTGTCCACCACTCTTAGAAACTATAAACAAGGGTAAGCCTCTCAGAGTCAAGGGCTTTTAACTACGGCTGTTCATACCTGTACACACTAGTAGGCTAGTTAAACACTTCAGCTCAGCCACTCACATTCACAATTTAAATGGAAGCTTGAGACCAGATATATTCTTACTACAAATAAGTGTACTAAGTAAATATCCCATTTTTAGCATATTTGCTTTACCTTAGTATCGCTATCTACCTAGCTATGGTAGCTATTCTTGAATTTCAATGGAAATCAATGAAATGTATTGATTGAATTGTTTGGGAAAAAATTGATGTCTCCATGATAAAATTAAGATAAACAAAATATTCAAATGACAAGTGTGTCATATATTAAAATACATCACTGCCTGGGCAGAAAATATTACAAATATCAAATTAAACATCTAGTATATAGATATAGTACATAGATATGTATTTAATACAGTACTAAATTTGAAGGTATGAAATTTCTAAATTGTGAGAGAAAAAAAGTATAAGAAAAAAATTAAGATAAACAAAATATTCAAATGACATGGTCGCCATAGTAATAATATATTAGAATACATCACTGCCTGGGCAGAAAATATTACAAACATCAAATTTAACATCTAATATTTGAGATATATATAAAAAAAATAAGTTTGCAAAGACAACATTTTACTGTAATTATATAAGGGCCTAGGAATAATTTATCAAAATTTCTCTCCATCTGCAGTCAGTTTGTACAACATTAAAGCAATCATAAATGTATGGCACCATACAGTTACCACAAAAAAAGCATGTTCAAAATGTATGCAAATTAGATTTCCATGTTAATCATTAATGCACATTTGTCATGTAATGACAATTTTAAAATACAGAAAAATTCATAAGATTCTTCAACAAAAATTGTGATAAATCTCAATAAGATTTTTGCACTTACGTATCAATGATAAATTATTTTGATAAGAAAACCTGGGCCTTACTGATTCAATTTTCAGATTTTAATATTCCATTAGCTATTTTATCAACATCAATCTGTTTCAATTCAATTTCATTTGAATCTGAAAATTTGTGATTTTCCGCAGATAGAATTTATCATAAATGTCATTTTGTATAAATATGGACCACAGAAAAATATGACTATTCAGTAAGAAACTAGACAAAAATGGATCTCACCAGCACAAATTGTATTTACACAACAGTACTGCTGTATCAAAAAAGTCCCACGATCAAAGTCAAAAGATCTTTACCGTAAAATATGCTCTATCCAACGGAACAGAAATCAGACTTACCATATCTTTCCTCTTCAGATCTATATTCAATAATGGGTTCCAATCTCAGCCTTACACAAAACCACTCCATGCGACAAATTTCATTAGGACAGTTTATATAGAGACGAAAATCAATATCAGACATCTATACGTTGTAGGTAGTTATGGGGATTTTAAACTCTCATGCTCACAACAAACACTCATAATGTGACAAATGTCTATTCAATATGTTGACTGCAAGTAAGTTTTCTGCGTAAAGTATCAGTAACAACTCCACGTTGTCCGAATCAATGGCACTGCAGGCATGTGGGGAGCCACTCGATAGCATGATTCACCATTCATCTGATCGGGGCCATCCACGTCTACTTTAAACAGAGGGAAAACGGTCAAGTTGTCTACTGCTATTAATAGGCGGGTTTCAATTTCAAAGACTAATCGAAACCTAGTAATGGAAAATCGGTCAATTTGGCTAGAACTTCTGTATTGACTCCAGTGTTTATCAAATATCGTAGGAATCCTACAACTGACAGTGAATTCAACAGAGTGAGATCTGAACGGGTTATCCTTCCTCTGTCAATTGCAATATATGATAAACGAGTCTATCTTAAAGGCTGCAGCTGCAGAACTACATTACACAATTTTATCCAGGAGAATTGACCAAAAAGAAAAAATACCACTGGCAACCCTGATGTTTCATGATAGTTTTCACAATTTAATGTACTTGCTCCATGCAGTGATGGGTATTTTCCTTTTTTTCAAGAAGTTAACTTATAAATCTGTGTACATGATGTTAATAAAATAATTACTGTGTGAAATCCATTGAAAATGTCTGTTGCCATCTACATGTCAAATAACCATGAATACACAATTGGAATTTAGGGGCCAGCTGTACATTGGAAGAAAGCCATGAATATAAAAGTGTTTAACGACCTAATAACGGCTGAGGTAATATTAGTATGTTATTATTACGAAAAAATTATCCAAATTTACCAAGTGTTTTTCATTAAGAATGTACCTACATGTAAAGCTGTGAAAATGTTAAAAAATAAATAAAAAAATACATGCATGCATGAAATGATAAGCTATGTACAGTTGTCAAATTACTTTTTCCCAAGAATAGCATGTCAATTAAGAGTGGAAAGAAAACCCTACTTTAAGGTTACATTTCTTTTGATTATGCATTTCCATGACTTCATTTGAATATATTTATTTGCGCCTTATTATAAGTTGATGCAATGGCTTTGCTTGGCAAGGCTGAATACATTTATGCAATGTCATTGGACATAAAACATTTTTGGTCAATGTTTTATCTCTTACATGTAAACCCGAAAATGTCAGGATCTTTAACATATAAAATCTTTGAGTACAGCCATGCTATAATAAAGATTTTAACTGAACATTTTTGGACGCAACACAAATGGGTCCTTCAGTTTTTAAATATTAAAACTATACACAAACCATGGCCTGCACCTTGTAATCTTTTCTACATGTCTAATGTAAATCACTGCGATAACATAGACACACAGCTATTGAGTATGCAGGTTCAACATAAATCTACAGCTTGGTCATCTGTCTTTTTAAATCTCTGTTTGCAAATATAGCTCAGCCTTGATCAATCTATATTGAAATGCTGTAACAGCAAGAAAAGTGACATTTTGATTTCACATTCATGCTAATCAAGGTACTCTGGAGATAAAGTGTGTCAACACCTATACCTATATATCTTATCCAGTGGCCAATTGGAAACAGATCCATTTGACCTCAGTCTGATTGACCTATCGCTTAGCAGTCAGCCACAAATCAGTGCTTTATACAAGGACTGTGCTTTTTCAATTTTATTGTTACAGCAAATGTATGTATTCCATTACCAGGTATACGTAAATATGTTCCATAATAACTTACCATTATTATTAAGGTAAAAAAAAATACTTGTGTTTCTGCTATGATCCCCAGAAAAAATAGGGTAGGTACATGTAGCTAGGTAGGCCTTTTTTTGAAAATGTTTTTACTACGCTTACATGTATATATATAGAGCAAGAGTTCTGACTTCAACAGTGCATTTCACTAAATGCCAATAAAAGACTATAGGGTAGACACAACAATCTGGGTAGGCATGCAGGGCTAGTGGAAACACAAGATTTTTCAATTTGGCCTTAGATAAATTAATTATGTTGTAAATCATGATCTGTGTTCTGTATTTTCAATCAGAATTGAGAATTTTACAAATACCTATATGTATTCTACGCAAGTACAACCAGATATTTGTTTTTTGACAATAGCTACAGGTTCAGTTCTTGGGGCTAAAATGTAAAGTAAAATGCAAATGAAACCAAACAAAACGTTACCCAATTTATTTCAAAATCTGAACATTACGAAATAGAGAGAGGCGAAAAAAAGATCATGTATATAGGGTTCATGGGCAAAACTGTGGGTTTTCTGTATTGAAGTAAATTTTATCAACTCAACATCTAATAATAACATAAGCTTCATTTAGAATAAAAATAAGTTTGTATTATTTTTCTTTCAAATTTTATATGCATATATTAGAGAATCCATATTTATGTGAACTGCCCATTATATATAATTAACCTTTAAAGGATATAAATCTGAAAATAATTGGCATGCAACTTTTTTCAAAGTCTATGTACCTAGGCTTGGAAAAACAGAAGAAGGTTCGAAACATTTTTGAACATAATAAATCACTGACAATATAAAGAAATTGACAACAGACAATTACACTCAGGTCTATGAGTAAAAAAACAGACTGTCACAGATATCAGAAAAAGAAAAAAAAATCCTCCATTTTAATTCAACAGAAATTAACTTGTATGAAATTATATATTGCTTCATGCGTAATTTAAGAAAAGCATTTCATAAAAAGAAACTTTCAATCTACAAGTGATCATATCTTTAATTAATTATCTTTTTAGTGATAACAAATTTAAAGTTTAATTCTCACTGTAACAAATCAAAATTGTAAGAAAGATCTAAAATAAATGTTGAAAATTAAACAATTTTGTTTTCAATTGTAAGAATAAAATAGTGCTGTTGTGAGAAGCTAAATGCATATCATTGCAAAGAAATTGATTAATTTACACATTTGTAAAACGGTAAAAGTATCATTTTACATTTCGAAAAATATATAAATAAAAAATAGTTGAGAACAAATCTGACATTCATCAACCGTTTATCGGTTTGTAATCCGTTAATCTTAAATCCTATTAAAGTTAATGGCATGTATAATCCGAACAAACAATCGGTGTAGTGACTTTTTTAAGACAGAATTGGAGCAAAACGACTGCGGAAGATCAACTTGACCCATCTCAATATTGAGAATCATTACAGCTGATAGCAACTCCCTTGTACATCCACATTATCAAAACATGATATTGACACACGTATATCGACTTTGAGCTGACTTTGGGAGTTTATGATACATTGTGAGCATTAGTGAATTCAAGCGTAAACAGTAAATGCCACTTACCCGTTGAGACAACTGGGTTTCCAACAAACTATCAGATAACCATCATCCGAAGGTACGACGTATGAAAACAGTAGCAGTTACTTGCCTCAGCTCGTCAACCACGAGCGATGCTAAGGCAACAAATGCCGCGGTGTCCAACCAATAGAATTGTCTTTTATTAAAATCGATTGGCCAATGAGTGACGTACTCTCATGAGTTTCCGGGAAGGGAAGTTACTCTCTCGAGAAAATATACTAATTAAACCGAAAGTAACTTGCTGTTACTAACTACGCATAAAAGATACAAGATAGGGTTTTTGAAAAATTTAAACAGGCGTCGTAAAGTTTATTTCTTGTTTCCAGGAGAGATATCTTCTATCAAAAGAAGTGCCAAATATTTGTAAGTTGTACACGTATTCTTATTTTGTTAGGGAAACTGACATCTCAGTTTCGCTCAGTTTCGCTCAGTTAACATCGTTGTAAAAAGCTAACTAGTAGCTTGTGGTGATGTATGATGGTCATTTCTTCTAATGAATGCTGTACATACAAAGAAATGCTTTCCGATAATTCAATTTCAACGTCATTGACACTATCAGAATGACTTGTTTAAACGCAAGCAGTGAATGTGTTGCATTATATGATTACTAATCCCATTCATTATTCATTCGAGTTTCATCTGGCTGACACCAGACTTAGACTTCTTGACATCTATCCGTCAAAATGCACAGGAGTCTGACGTTTTATCACTATAACTATAACAAGAAAATGCAGCAAAACTGCTGGACACCAGATCTGTTGATGAAAATCAATGACAGACAGTTCACCAAGAACGAGGAACAGATCCTGCACGCTTGAATAGGGTTTCAATATCTGTGGATATTAATGGCATTCATTTTAACGTTTAGAATATTCTGTTCAATCTTAATATCCTCACATGTTGCACTTTTGTCACTCAATAGTTGTCCCATGACAAGAAACTGTCCATCAGGGCCAGACTTGGGAACCATGGACCTCCGAACTGACCACTAGCTAGATTTACCTGGCCAAGGGAAGTCCCACAGTCCAACCACACACTGACCACTAGCTAGATTTACCTGGCCAAGGGAAGTCCCACAGTCCAACCACACATACATATGTGTAAAACAAAGTACTTGTAGTAGAATAATTTCTTACGTAGAAAGGTAATAAATAGATAATAGGACAGAAATGATGTATTGACAGAAACTTTACAACAAAGTAGAGAAAGTACTGTTTTATTTATTATAACAAACGTAGCACAAAACCTAGTTAATGAATTTCCTCATCAGAGCCTGTTGCTGTTGTATAAACTACACACTTGGAGGTACATCCTTAAATGACCTTAATCGTTAATAAAACTTAAACTAAATAAACCAAACCATACTAAAATGACTGATAATGACCATAAAACTACAAAAGATCCCTACAAATGTGTACAACCCTTATGTATTTGTCAATAGAGGCATCGCAACAATCTCTATTGAGATTTCCAATGATGGAAGATTACTGTGATTGTGGTATGTCACAGACTTGTGGAATGTCACAGACTTGTGGTATGTCACTGACTTGTGGTATGTCACGGACTTGTGGTATGTCACAGACTTGTGGTATGTCACAGACTTGTGGTATGTTAAAGCATGTAATCTCCTGACAGAAATACAGTTGTAATTATACAAAGTCTTCAAACTCTATGAATAATAAACAGCCTTGTAAAAGGTTCTTCATTACTTTATCACTCAATATTTTATTTCTTACAAAATTAGTCATTTTAATGATATGATAGATTTATGTAAGATTACCATTATATCTCTGTGGCTGTCCACAATTTATGTCATGCAGAATTAATGTAGGGCAAAATATTTAAAGAAAGGTATGGAAAAATGTGTAACCTCTGTATTTCTTTTAGAGGTCAAATGTTACATTCTCTGTTCTACAGAGTGGAATATCGTTTCTAACATTGATAAAATCTGTTACTTTCCTGTTAGAAAATTTCATTATATTCAAAAAGTAACATGAACTTTTTATCAGATTAATGGGATTGATATTTGTATCGGCCGATGTGCCTTCCAAGTACTACACGTATTTGACTTTGGTATATGAATGATGTGATAGATTATCAATTAAACCACTAAAATTACAATAAGGTAATGTGTTTTAAATTTCTTTTTGTTGAAATACTGTCTCTTTTTTAGAGGATACAAGTAAGCTAGGAAAGATGGCTGATTTTGGACAATTGCATGTAAGGGAATGGGAGGTCCAGTTTTATCAGGAGCAAACCCGGAAATGGTTGACAGGCATGCTTTCTGTCACAGTGGAGAGGATAATCTTTCAAGACAAAAACTCTCAATTCAACATGATCTGCATGTATGGTGACTTTGCAGAAGTAAAGAAAACAACAACTGGAATTATATTTAGTGCAATAGTGATAATCACAAAAGATGGAAAAAAACATTGGTTTTCATCACTGCCGAACAGGGAGGATATTTTCAATGTGATGCAGTATTTCCTGAGGTCAAATGTAACATTTTCTGATCAAGGAAACAAGGGGAAAACTTTGGGGATGGGAAGAACAGAGATGGGGCACAAGTTGCTAAAAGTGGCTTATGATTCTCACAAGACACTTAGTGCATCTGCAGAAATAATGTCATCACAAGGAGAACAGATAGACTCTACTTTAACAGCTATGACTGACATTCACAACGACCTAGACATAGCCGAAAGCTTAACATCCGGAATGGAATCCTGGACAGGAAAGTGGAGGATCCCCAATGTATACCAAACAGTTGACCCTATCATTGTACATCAAAGAGACATACCAAATATATCTGACTATGAAATTCTTTATACAAAAATGGAAACTAACAAAACGACCACTCAGAAACTTGGGTTGTTGCGTATTGCTCCCGAAGGGATGTTTATTCTGAGTGAGAAGCAGAAGCTGATACATCACTTTAAATGGAGTGACATTTCGCGTGTTAGGGTGTTATCCCCATGTGAAGTTCTTGTAACAAGGTTCCTGATTGGACAACCAGACTTGAGCTATGGAGTTGTGTGTACATCTTTGCTTGGATTTTTGGAATTTTTAGAGAGAAAAATGAGAAGTAAAATTGAATATGTGACAAGTGGATTTGTGAGACAACCTGAGGAACGTGGACACCCCCAGGCTAAGATAACTAAGGGTAAATATACACTCATGACCCAGGCTAAGATAACTACGGGTAAATATACACTCATGTCCCAGGCTAAGATAACTAAGGGTAAATATACACTCATGACCCAGGCTATGATAACTAAGGGTAAATATACACTCATGTCCCAGGCTAAGTTAACTAAGGGTAAATATACACTCATGACCCAGGCTAAGATAACTAAGGGTAAATATACACTGATGACCCAGGCTAAGATAACTAAGGGTAAATATACACTAATGACCCAGGCTAAGATAACTAAGGGTAAATATACACTCATGACCCCGGCTTAGATAACTAAGGGTAAATATACACTCATGTCCCAGACAGAGATAACTAAGGGTAAATATACACTCATGACCTAGGCTAAGATAATTAAGGGTAAATATACACTCATGTCCCAGGCTAAGTTAACTAAGGGTAAATATACACTCATGACCCACGCTAAGATAACTAAGGGTAAATAAACACTCATGACCCAGGATAAGATAACTAAGGGTAAATATACACTAATGACCCAGGCTAAGATAACTAAGGGTAAATATACACTCCTGTCCCAGACAAAGGTAACTAAGGGTAAATATACACTCAGGTCCCAGGCTAAAATAACTAAGGGAAAATATACACTCATGACCCAGGCTAAGATAACTAAGGGAAAATATACACTCATGACCCAGACAAAGATAACTAAGGGTAAATATACACTCAGGTCCCAGGCTAAAATAACTAAGGGAAAATATACACTCATGACCCAGACAAAGATAACTAAGGGTAAATATACACTCAGGTCCCAGGCTAAAATAACTAAGGGTAAATATACACTCATGACCCAGGCTAAGATAACTAAGGGTAAATATACACTAATGACCCAGGCTAAGATAACTACGGGTAAATATACACTCATGTCCCAGACAAAGGTAACTAAGGGTAAATATACACTCAGGTCCCAGGCTAAAATAACTAAGGGTAAATATACACTCATGACCCAGGCTAAGATAACTAAGGGTAAATATACACTCATGTCCCAGGCTAAGATAACTAAGGGTAAATATACACTCATGTCCCAGGCTAAGATAACTAAGGGTAAATATACACTCATGTCCCAGGCTAAGATAACTAAGGGTAAATATACACTCATGTCCCAGGCTAAGATAACTAAGGGTAAATATACACTCATGTCCCAGGCTAAGATAACTAAGGGTAAATATACACTCATGTCCCAGGCTAAGATAACTAAGGGTAAATATACACTCATGTCCCAGGCTAAGATAACTAAGGGTAAATATACACTCATGTCCCAGGCTAAGATAACTAAGGGTAAATATACACTCATGTCCCAGGCTAAGATAACTAAGGGTAAATATACACTCATGTCCCAGGCTAAGATAACTAAGGGTAAATATACACTCATGTCCCAGGCTAAGATAACTAAGGGTAAATATACACTCATGTCCCAGGCTAAGATAACTAAGGGTAAATATACACTCATGTCCCAGGCTAAGATAACTAAGGGTAAATATACACTCATGTCCCAGGCTAAGATAACTAAGGGTAAATATACACTCATGTCCCAGGCTAAGATAACTAAGGGTAAATATACACTCATGTCCCAGGCTAAGATAACTAAGGGTAAATATACACTCATGTCCCAGGCTAAGATAACTAAGGGTAAATATACACTCATGTCCCAGGCTAAGATAACTAAGGGTAAATATACACTCATGTCCCAGGCTAAGATAACTAAGGGTAAATATACACTCATGTCCCAGGCTAAGATAACTAAGGGTAAATATACACTCATGTCCCAGGCTAAGATAACTAAGGGTAAATATACACTCATGTCCCAGGCTAAGATAACTAAGGGTAAATATACACTCATGTCCCAGGCTAAGATAACTAAGGGTAAATATACACTCATGTCCCAGGCTAAGATAACTAAGGGTAAATATACACTCATGTCCCAGGCTAAGATAACTAAGGGTAAATATACACTCATGTCCCAGGCTAAGATAACTAAGGGTAAATATACACTCATGTCCCAGGCTAAGATAACTAAGGGTAAATATACACTCATGTCCCAGGCTAAGATAACTAAGGGTAAATATACACTCATGTCCCAGGCTAAGATAACTAAGGGTAAATATACACTCATGTCCCAGGCTAAGATAACTAAGGGTAAATATACACTCATGTCCCAGGCTAAGATAACTAAGGGTAAATATACACTCATGTCCCAGGCTAAGATAACTAAGGGTAAATATACACTCATGTCCCAGGCTAAGATAACTAAGGGTAAATATACACTCATGTCCCAGGCTAAGATAACTAAGGGTAAATATACACTCATGTCCCAGGCTAAGATAACTAAGGGTAAATATACACTCATGTCCCAGGCTAAGATAACTAAGGGTAAATATACACTCATGTCCCAGGCTAAGATAACTAAGGGTAAATATACACTCATGTCCCAGGCTAAGATAACTAAGGGTAAATATACACTCATGTCCCAGGCTAAGATAACTAAGGGTAAATATACACTCATGTCCCAGGCTAAGATAACTAAGGGTAAATATACACTCATGTCCCAGGCTAAGATAACTAAGGGTAAATATACACTCATGTCCCAGGCTAAGATAACTAAGGGTAAATATACACTCATGTCCCAGGCTAAGATAACTAAGGGTAAATATACACTCATGACCCAGGCTAAGATAACTAAGGGTGAATATACACTCATGACCCAGGCTAAGATAACTAAGGGTAACTATACACTCATGACCCAGGCTAAGATAACTAAGGGTAACTATACACTCATGACCCAGGCTAAGATAACTAAGGGTAACTATACACTCATGACCCAGGCTAAGATAACTAAGGGTAACTATACACTCATGACCCAGGCTAAGATAACTAAGGGTAACTATACACTCATGACCCAGGCTAAGATAACTAAGGGTAACTATACACTCATGACCCAGGCTAAGATAACTAAGGGTAACTATACACTCATGACCCAGGCTAAGATAACTAAGGGTAACTATACACTCATGACCCAGGCTAAGATAACTAAGGGTAACTATACACTCATGACACCAGAAGTATTTATACATTCAACAGGGGGCATCTGTCTAGAGTATTTGGTTTTCTTTTTAATATTCATATAGTTCACTGTATTAAGCATTGTGTATGAAGTAAAACTTTGATATAACATATTTCCAAACTGATGAATCTTATTGTAGATATAACCGACCTAAACCTTTTCTGTGACTAGACTGTCCACTAACTGGCTTTGCAGTATTAGATGCCAACAAGGTGTTGTCACTTGTACTCTCCAACAACAAGGTGTTGTCACTTGTACTTTCCAACAAATGTTTTTTTCTAGGGATATCATCTTTCTGATTCCAATTCAAAATCTTAAGTTCATGTTAAAAACATTTGTTTCACATGAAATATATAAATGTTCTAGGACTTATTCATCCAACAAGTAAAGTGTGCAAATAGTTAAAATATGTATTGTTATCAGCAATGAAAAACATGTAAAGGATATTTAGTTTGAGTGCAATATTTTCAGGTGAATTATTGTCCAGAAAGACAACAGGCTCATCCATACCACAATTACAGACATCATGTAATCAGAGTCGGACAGGCCATGACGTCCAAGGGGAGCAACTCCAGCTTCCCCATCCCGTGGTGAGTGACGAAGAGGTGCAGGAACTACAGCACACTCTATCTGACCTGCGGTCACTAGCTATATCTGTCCAGCAGGAGACAGATACCCAAAACGAGAAACTGGATACATTAACATGTTCTGTGGACAAAGCTAATGTAAGGATGTCTAAGGTGAACAGTCGTGTAGAAAAACTGACGAAATGAGTATCGTATATGTGGCCTACTTTCTTCATAACATCTATAGAGGATATTTAATGTTTTCATAACCGTGTATAATATGTTCCACAAGTATAGTAGAATATCACTACTTATACAAGCAAAATAAAAACAAAATATAGACCTGTATTTTCTACCAGGTCTATAATTTCTACAAGTGAAATGTATATATTATGATATACAGCAGGGAAAACCATCAAATTTTCTATTTATTTCTTTTTTTTAAAGTTACACGGTGCAAATATTCCTGCATCAGAAAAGTGTAGCAATTAGTAGCGCAATATGATCTACCAGGTTCTAATGTCACACTTTACAACAAGGTGGAGCACCATTTTGAATCACATATAACTCAATGCAATTCTGCTGTCTGTTGCTTTTAACTGGTGAGATTTGTGTATTTATGTAAATACCATACTATATGTTACAAATATATACCAAAACAACCACTTACTCTACCATTGCTTCATCTGAACTTGAAATTGAAAGTCTGTGCAGTGAATAGAAAGTATCTCTCTGATTGGATACTGAAGTGATATCTTTACAGCATGTGTAGATGAAACATTTCTTATTTCTTTTTTTCTTCCTTTCATTTTGTCTAACGTCCTATTAACAGCTAAGGTCATTAAAGGACGTGCCACCATGTGTGTTGTGTGTGCTTGCATGCCTGTGTGTATACCGGAGGCAGGGTATGTTGGTGTACTTTCCTCCATGTAAATTTATAGCCTGCAATGTGAATTTGGTAGGGTTATATTGTGGAAATGCCATAAAAAGGCAAAATGAACAATTGCTGGTATTTCACTTGTCAAAAAGTAGTACATGTACATGAAAATGCATATATATGTAACTTATTTGTGTTTATAATGGAATGTAATAAATGCTTTTATTTTATTTTATTTTATGGTGATAATTAATCTTAACTTATAATCAAGGATAGAAGTACAAAAAGATGTTTACAATTTTACATTGCACATTGCTTTAATTAAATTATTAAAAAGTATTTATACATTATATAATTGAAAAATTGTGTTTTCACAATGCAGAATTACGTATCAATGAAACTGTATTTCACTCAATACAGAGACAACAGGGGTGTCATTAATGTGAGTTTGTTATTTTTTCAATTCATTACAGTACATAGATTCGGTTGAAATTGTTTTGTATTTCGTTTAAGCACCATCATAAAATCGATCAACTTATGTGGTCTGTTGTCCGTTCAGCCGTCCGTGTTTAAACAGTTTTGATATGCCTATTTCTCAGGAATACATCAAGAATCATACCCGGGTAACAAAACTTTGGTATTCCTTCAGTCCACTTTTGTTACTAGCTTCAATTTTAAATGGATCGGGAAACTCCGAAAGCAAAGTGGCTGCCAGGCAGCCATCCTGGATTTTGCACATCAAGCTTGTTACTGCTATTTCTAATGAACATGAATGGTCTCGATATGCCTGATCCCATTTGTCCCTAGTGGGCATATTTCAATTTGAGAAAGATTGGGAATACGAGGACAAAAACAAAAAAGGGACATCACTGACCTATTTTATATGTCCAGTTCGTTACACCAGTATTTCTCATGAAAAACAAAATGGATCACGATAAAACATGTTTAAACATGATCCTCTTAGCCTTTAATTAGTTGCACCTTCTCCAATTTCTTGTAGTTAAGAGAGAAAAAAAGCCACCAAGCTATCTTGGAATTTGTTTGGATATCATACGTGTAAAAATTGTTCTCACATTTTTTTGATAAATGCTAATGGGATCATGATCTTTTTGTCGTAGTTGTGCGTGCTCCAACTTTCAGATGGATCGGGAAATGTAGCATAAAGCAAGCATCTCAAAGACCATGATGTACATAGTCTGCACAATCCACTTCATACCTACATGTGTTTTGTTAAAAAAGAGAAAAGAGAAATAAAGAGAATACTAGAACATGAATTTACCTGAAACATTCCACCATCTTTAAGTGAAAGGGGCCAACATTCTTTTTTTTTCTTTTTTTTCTTTTTTTTCGGTGAAATCCTATATGTAGTTTTAGTTATTTACTAGTCTTCATTTGAACAATTCTAAAGATTCTGTTAACATAAAATTTTGTCCTAGCTCTGTACTTTGCTTGCTTGAACAAAATGAACTCCCATTATAAAATATTAATAGAATGAATATTCATAAAATGAAATGTACATGTATTTATAAATGATGGCTCTTTCCATTCACACAATCACAGGGTGATACATTATATATGACTGTAGACTCTGAGATCATTTCCCTACCTTCCTTCTAATGTGTCAGTTCTGTAGTCCTCCCGACAGAACTGCTTCCAGCAAGTAATAAACAGGTCAATATGACTAGACTCTGAGATCATTTCCCTACCTTCCTTCTAATGTGTCGGTTCTATAGTCCTCCCGACAGAACTGCTTCCAGCAAGTAATAAACAGGTCAATATGAATGCCAACTGGATTGTGTTCAATTCAATATGAAGCACTGCCTGAAACCTGTTCAGTATTTACATTTACCATCTAAAATATTTATCAAAATTCAATGCAATGCTTACATTTACCATCTAAAATATTTAACAAAATTCTCTTCTAACAAGTGAATGTGTATATTTGTATAAATGTATCTTTTATATGCTTGTTTAATGGAATAAAATGGCTATCTTCAAGGGATCCAATGTTACAACCGTGACATCATAAAAGTGAACAGTGATGATGTCTATGGCATTTATTACTCGCATGAATGCAATGTGAATTTGGTAGGGTTATATTGTGGAAATGCCATAAAAAGCGTTAATATGTAATTATTCCAGATAAGGAGCAGTGTGTGTAAATAGGTCTTATTTCATTAGTACGTGGCTTTAATTGACTACTGCAGACAACATGGTACCAATGGTGTTCAAAATACTCTTATCCACAACATTTAAATGTTGAAATAAGGAAACAGATTTTTTCCTACAAGTTTTTAAATTATGAAAGTCTTCCAGATGACGAGCTATCAGCACATTCAATAAATTCATTTAAAAACAGACTGGATAAACGCTGTATTGATCAGGAAATGATTTATATTTACAGCTAATGTGATGTGTTAAACATATGATGTCCAAAATAAAACTTTATGTATGTGTGTGTGTGTGTGTGTGTGTGTATGCTTACGTGTATGCATGTGAATTTCGGAAACATGTTACGAGTCCAGTATAGAGAGCAATACTTAATTACATACAGTCTGTATCTTGTATTGAATAAAAAATAAACCGAAACAACATCGGAAAAATTTAATAAAGAAAATGATGGACTGAACACTGCAGGAGTTAGTTCCCTTCTTCGAAAGTATCTTCAACATAGCCCTGCCGTAGTTGTCTTTCTTTGCTTTGTCTATAGCGTCTAGCCTATGATTGATGTCATCGTTATGATTGTAAAAAGTGACTAACTACTGGCTTTATATATCTCTGCAAGTGCTTAACCTAATGCGGGACAATTTCCCCACATTTCACCGGTGCATCCCACCTTTTATTATATATGTAAAGGTACATTGTAAACCTGTTTCTACCTACCAAGTAAAAGACGGCTCACACGCGCTAAAATTCTGAAAACCACACCATTGCGTCATCACGTTTGGCAGTGTAGCTATAGACAAAGACGTCTCTGCTATAGGGTAGCGTCATCAATTTTGTCACTTGATGCGCTCTTGATGATGGCGTGGTGCATTGAGTTCACCATTACAGCATGTTTATGGTAGGAATGCGTGAGAGAAAATAGTCAGTCAAGACTGTAATGCAGACAGAAATCTCAACCTTCGGGATAAGATTTTGAAAGTTCAGCAATTTTCACATCCTCGTGCTAAACTCCAAAAATCTTACCCAGGATTGAGATTTCCCTGCCAAACAGGAGTGATCGATTCTATTAATCTCTGGCAATCATGAATACGCATGTCAAAGGTTATATAAAAACATGCTCTCTGTGATGCTTGACAATCGAAATATCCCGTTCATTGACATTTTGGACAAACACAAAATTATTTAAAAGGCTACATTGGTTACAACAAGAGGAAATTCCAAAAAGCTTTTCAAGAGAAGGATGAGGCTCAACCTGTACAGTAGTAGGGTCGTGGACGAGTGGAACTCTCTCCCAAATATAGTTGTAGAGGCCTCTCCCTGAATAATTTTAAACCCCGGCTAAACAATCACTGGCGTCATCATCACCAAATATGTGAACCTACATGTTACTCACAACCGGAAATAAATATAGAACAGTATCAAGATGTTTCCCAAGAAGCTGGATCAGTTTACAAAAACATTGACGTCGACACTGCATGAAAACTAAACAAATTACGGAGAATCATACATGTGTATGAACGCAGTGTCGTCAAAACGCCCACACACACACATATATATATAAGCATGAAGAGGAAAATTCCGTCAAGAATCATCGCTACATGTACACATGTATGATCCCTCAAAATGCCAGAATTTACCTCGCCTTTTTCGACTTTGATATCTGATAGCCAGTTTCAATTAGATTACAACGGCAATAAGTAGATATAGGGGAATATTTAATGCATATGTATAACACAAGAGTGGTGTGATGATTTATTTTATTCTAGCACACAATTAATGCATTGTCTAACGTTGTAAGTTATAATATAGAAAAAGCAAGCTATTACTTGTCTATTTTATATTGATATAAATACATACTCATCCAAATTGTTAAAATATTTGAGAGTTGGATAAAAATCCTAGTAAAAAGTATTGGATGTACATTATATAAAAATTATTATATGGATACGTAAATATATATATATATCAAGCGAATAATTATAAAATGCTTTTCAGTGGCGAGTGACTAGTATGTTAATGTCACGACGTCAAAGGATGTTGGCTTTATTGTGAATGTAATGGCGTTGGTACGTGAAGCTGACTAAACAGCCCAACAAAAGGGCTGTAATGGGAAACAAGTTATATCACTCGTACATGTATCGGTTCTGGATGTCGTGGTACAGTTGTTCGTACCGTTGAAGCACGCGTTTGTTTTCCTCGCGCTGTCTGTCGAGGATGAGGCGTTTCTCATTAACTCGATTCATCAGTCCGTCAATCTCCAAAGCAAGGGAGACAACCTTCTTGTTAACGCCTGCCATCAGTTTGGTCTTGGACTCTCCGTCATTCTTGATGTGGAAAGCTAGAGAACAACGACAAAAAACACAAGTGTACTCTTAAATGTTTTAGTTTATGCAAATACCTGTGACTTCTTTCAATTCTTTGAAACCTGCAATTGCAAAGAACGCCTGCTTGACTTTAGTGAGTGCTTGTCCTGTTTAGAATACAATAAAACGGTTCGAAAGGCGGCAAAGAGAAGACACAACAACAGCACCACACCTCAACACTGCTATTTATGGAATTTACATGTTTCGTTCTTATTCAAAAACTGTACACTCCGATGTTGGCCCAAAAGCTGGCACTGAACAGTCTGAAGCTGGTGTTCAGAGTTATGGCAACGATCTCCTCCAAAAGGAAACATTGTTGACGTTAATAATCACAATGATATATAGAGTTTATGTATCGTTTGCAAAGACGACCCCGTCCTGTTTTGAGAAAAAGGGTCGACGAGACTTGATTTGGTACATTGTGATGATGCTGTTGATGAAACTGACTATTGAGTATTGTACGATTGTGAGGAAGTGGCCGACGAGGCTTTACAGTCGGTACAATTGTACTATTGTGAAGATGCTGTTGATGAAACTGACTTTTGAGTCTTGTACGGGTGTGAGGAAGTGGCCGACGAGGCTTTACAGTCGGTACAATTGTACTATTGTGAAGATGCTGTTGATGAAACTGACTTTTGAGTCTTGTACGGGTGTGTGGAAGTGGCCGACGAGGCTTTACAGTCGGTACAATTGTACTATTGTGAAGATGCTGTTGATGAAACTGACTTTTGAGTATTGTACGGGTGTGAGGAAGTGGCCGACGAGGCTTTACAGTCGGTACAATTGTACTATTGTGAAGATGCTGTTGATGAAACTGACTTTTGAGTATTGTACGGGTGTGAGGAAGTGGCCGACGAGGCTTTACAGTCGGTACAATTGTACTATTGTGAAGATGCTGTTGATGAAACTGACTTTTGAGTATTGTACGGGTGTGAGGAAGTGGCCGACGAGGCTTTACAGTCGGTACAATTGTACTATTGTGAAGATGCTGTTGATGAAACTGACTTTTGAGTATTGTACGGGTGTGAGGAAGTGGCCGACGAGGCTTTACAGTCGGTACAATTGTACTATTGTGAAGATGCTGTTGATGAAACTGACTTTTGAGTATTGTACGGGTGTGAGGAAGTGGCCGACGAGGCTTTACAGTCGGTACAATTGTACTATTGTGAAGATGCTGTTGATGAAACTGACTTTTGAGTATTGTACGGGTGTGAGGAAGTGGCCGACGAGGCTTTACAGTCGGTACAATTGTACTATTGTGAAGATGCTGTTGATGAAACTGACTTTTGAGTATTGTACGGGTGTGAGGAAGTGGCCGACGAGGCTTTACAGTCGGTACAATTGTACTATTGTGAAGATGCTGTTGATGAAACTGACTTTTGAGTATTGTACGGGTGTGAGGAAGTGGCCGACGAGGCTTTACAGTCGGTACAATTGTACTATTGTGAAGATGCTGTTGATGAAACTGACTTTTGAGTATTGTACGGGTGTGAGGAAGTGGCCGACGAGGCTTTACAGTCGGTACAATTGTACTATTGTGAAGATGCTGTTGATGAAACTGACTTTTGAGTATTGTACGGGTGTGAGGAAGTGGCCGACGAGGCTTTACAGTCGGTACAATTGTACTATTGTGAAGATGCTGTTGATGAAACTGACTTTTGAGTATTGTACGGGTGTGAGGAAGTGGCCGACGAGGCTTTACAGTCGGTACAATTGTACTATTGTGAAGATGCTGTTGATGAAACTGACTTTTGAGTATTGTACGGGTGTGAGGAAGTGGCCGACGAGGCTTTACAGTCGGTACAATTGTACTATTGTGAAGATGCTGTTGATGAAACTGACTTTTGAGTATTGTACGGGTGTGAGGAAGTGGCCGACGAGGCTTTACAGTCGGTACAATTGTACTATTGTGAAGATGCTGTTGATGAAACTGACTTTTGAGTATTGTACGGGTGTGAGGAAGTGGCCGACGAGGCTTTACAGTCGGTACAATTGTACTATTGTGAAGATGCTGTTGATGAAACTGACTTTTGAGTATTGTACGGGTGTGAGGAAGTGGCCGACGAGGCTTTACAGTCGGTACAATTGTACTATTGTGAAGATGCTGTTGATGAAACTGACTTTTGAGTATTGTACGGGTGTGAGGAAGTGGCCGACGAGGCTTTACAGTCGGTACAATTGTACTATTGTGAAGATGCTGTTGATGAAACTGACTTTTGAGTATTGTACGGGTGTGAGGAAGTGGCCGACGAGGCTTTACAGTCGGTACAATTGTACTATTGTGAAGATGCTGTTGATGAAACTGACTTTTGAGTATTGTACGGGTGTGAGGAAGTGGCCGACGAGGCTTTACAGTCGGTACAATTGTACTATTGTGAAGATGCTGTTGATGAAACTGACTTTTGAGTATTGTACGGGTGTGTGGAAGTGGCCGACGAGGCTTTACAGTCGGTACAATTGTACTATTGTGAAGATGCTGTTGATGAAACTGACTTTTGAGTATTGTACGGGTGTGAGGAAGTGGCCGACGAGGCTTTACAGTCGGTACAATTGTACTATTGTGAAGATGCTGTTGATGAAACTGACTTTTGAGTATTGTACGGGTGTGAGGAAGTGGCCGACGAGGCTTTACAGTCGGTACATTTGTACTATTGTGAAGATGCTGTTGATGAAACTGACTTTTGAGTCTTGTACGATTGTGAGGAAGTGGCCGACGAGGCTTTACAGTCGGTACAATTGTACTATTGTGATGATGCAGTCGACGAGTCTAACTGTTCAGTCTGTACTATTATGAGACGGACGGTGAGACTGTTATCTTGAAAGGTCAGCGGTACTTCTGTGTCATTATACAATTATTTAACTGGAAATGTTATGAGATGCGGTCGATGAGATTTAGTTTTGAGTCGGTACTGTAACGAGAATATGGTCAATGAGACTCAGTTTTTAGTCGGTACTGAAGCAAGGATGCGGTCGATGAGACTTTCTTTCATGTCTGCACCATTGTGAGGGTGTGGTCTGCAGGGCTTACTATTGAGTCAGTATTATGCTTAGGATACGGTCGATTAGACACACTTTTAAGTCGGCACTGTTTGTGAGGAGTCGGTCGATGAGACACACTTTAGAGTCGGCACTATTTGCGAGGAGTCGGTCGATGAGACACACTTATAAGTCGGCACTATTTGTGGGGATTCGGTCGATGAGACACACTTTTAAGTCGACACTATTTGTGAGGAGTCGGTCGATGAGACAAACTTCAGAGTCGGCACTATTTGTGAGGAGTCTGTCGATGACACACACTTTTGATTCGGCTCTATTTGTGGGGATTCTGTCGATGAGACACACTTTAGAGTCGGCACTATTTGTGAGGAGTCGGTCGATGAGACACACTTTTAAGTCGGCACTATTTGTGGGGATTCGGTCGATGAGACACACTTTTAAGTCGGCACTATTTGTGAGGAGTCGGTCGATGAGACGCACTTTAGAGTCGGTATATTTTGTGAGGTTGTAGTCGATGAGACACACTTTTGACTCGGTACTATTTGTGAGGATGCGGTCAAGAAGACTTACTTTTTAGTCGGTACTTGTTGATGAGTATAACACGATGACGTCGCGTCCTCCTTGACTCCTCCTTTATCACACGTGACAACTCGCTGTGTATGCGGTCCTGTCGCCTAGTTTTCTTCATCCATTGTCCATTCGTCTGGGTCACCGCGTTCTCTTTGGCCTGCGGTCTCTTCTCTGTCTTGTCAACTGCGCTTCCCCAATCTTAAACGATATGTATAGTACATAAATGCACTTGTACGGTTTCTTTTTCATCAGTCTTCCTCTCACAATCAGCTTAGTAAACTCACACAGGGACCTGAGAATGTGTTACGTGTATATTTGGACCTCATCTAAGGTGTTCAGAGTAAGTATACATGTTTTAGGGGTTTAGACAGACTTTCGGTAAAATGACACCCCAATGATCATATATATATATGAGCATTGGGGGTGTCATTTTTACCGAAAAACATAAAATAACTCTGAACACCTAAGATTAGGCCCAAATATAGCTGTAACAAATAACACCTTAGTTAAGGTCCAAATATAGCTGTAACAAATTCACAGGTCCCTGTATAAATCATACAAACAATATTGGAGGTACCGACGAACTCTTTTCAGCTACATAAATTGGTTTCCCACTTTTTATCCCATCAATAAACAATCTGTATTGTTTTCTCTCACGTTTATCTACTAACCCGGACTTTGTTTTCTCTCACGTTTATCTATACCTACCCGGACTTTGTTTTCTCTCACGTTTATCCATACCTATCCGGACTTTGTTTTCTCTCACGTTTATCTACTTACCCGGAATTTGTTTTCTCTCACGTTTATCTGTACCTACCCGGACTTTGTTTTCTCTCACGTTTATCTATACCTACCCGGCCTTTTTTTTTTCTCACGTTTATCTATACCTACCCGGACTTTGTTTTCTCTCACGTTTATCCATACCTATCCGGACTTTGTTTTCTCTCACGTTTATCTACTTACCCGGAATTTGTTTTCTCTCACGTTTATCTGTACCTACCCGGACTTTGTTTTCTCTCACGTTTATCTATACCTACCCGGACTTTGTTTTCTCTCACGTTTATCTACTTACCCGGACTTTGTTTTCTCTCACGTTTATCTACCTACCCGGACTTTGTTTTCTCTCACGTTTATCTACTTACCCGGACTTTGATTGTTCAATTGTGATTTACTTTGGAATGGATTGAATTTTCCCGGAAACTGAAGTGACGAGCTTTCACGAACAATTATTGGAAATCAAATTGTAAATTCACTCAATTCCTGAACACGTCAAGTATACGATTACATTTAAAAGAGTGGGCAGTTCTTTACTTACACAGACAGATCACATTCGAGCAGCCTTGTAATACTAATTCTATCAGGAATAGCGACAACACACGACTGCACAAGTTCGCCTGGAATGGACAAGAATTCTTCATGATAAAAAGTGGAAACTAAATATTACTATACGTACGTATATACACTGTAGCTCTGGGGAACATTGCTACCATCGTGAAATTGTTACTATTTACTACCGTTGATACACTGATACTACCTTACATAGCCTTGGGGGAACATCCCCATCATTCCCAAACTATTATTTTTTAACTTAAGACAAGGGAATATTGCTTCTATTATCATGATTCAACCACTTAATGTACGGAGCACATAGAAAACTGGTACTATTGCCAAAGTCTAACATGCTATTGTAAGACAGGGAATATTGCTTCAATTTTTTTTTCAAAGCGTATTTACTACCCTACGCAAATCAACATGGGTAATATATTGATTCCATCCGTACTGTAACTCAATCATAGCAGACGAAGGAGATGTATGCTTTATGACATCAAAGTTTTACTTTTTACACAAACAATATACTATAAAACGTGTCGCAACGTTTCAAGACCGACTGGTCCCTGTGTCAAGCTAATAGAGCTAATATAGCTACACACAGGGACCAGTCGGTCTTGAAACGTTGCGACACGTTTTATACGTATATTGTTTGTGTAAAAAGAAAAACTTTGATGTCACACATTTCCAAACTGATGAATCATATTGAAAATGTATGCTTTATGTATAAGGTCAGCAATGAAAATACTTGCTGCTACCTCAGGGGAGTACACTGTTACAACCTTACTTTTTAGTACAGAATTTGAAAACATTGGCATTGTATCGGGCTTGGTAACAAATGGAAACATTTTTATTACTTCATCACGTGTACGGTAAACTAGTATTAGCACTATTTCAAGACAGCACGGCAAAGTATTGCTACTATCTTATAGTTGCAACTATTTGATGGCCACACGAAAAACAGTTCCACCATCTTATTACAGCATGAGTGAATAAAAAGTTACGCATATTGTACGTTACATTGCAACAACAAATATTAATTACAATACAGGCCTCTTTCTCTATTGGTAGATGACCTTGACAACAAACTTACTTTAGGGGGTTCATGATGTCCTCTACAATACAAGACTACAGGAGCGCAATATGAAATCCAACTTCGAAATCCATGGGATATACATTTTTTTCTACAGAAGATATTTGTATCAGCAGTGGAACACAAGAATTTTTAAGATACATGAAATATTTACCCTTATTTACCCCTAAAAACACATTTGAACCTTACCAAATCAAAGACAGAGCAAGTCCAGTTACAAAAGTAGGGGTGAATGAGTGAAGTAGGAGTAATACCTACCTCAGTCTTCAAACCAGTGTAGAAGACGCGTCCACACAGCTGCAGTAAGTATAATGGTAGTCCGTAAGAAAATCTAAAAATGATTAAACACATATACAGTATACACAAGATTGTCCAAAATCGTCTCATCATCCTTGCCGGTCTGTTCTTATCAGTGTCCTCAGGGGCCAGAATGTCGTCTGTCTCCGCGGGGGTTAAAGTCTTCCTTGTCTATTGGCCGGGAAGGCTATTCTGGAAAAAGCATATGGAAAATAAACAGGCTAGTTCAACGACCAATTTTATTGGTTGTGTAAAAAGAACTTTTCGTAATCCATACTTACAAACCTGAAGAAAATGTTTAGAAAAAGCTAACAATACATTGTTATCGATGTTAAGAACGATACTATATGTAACTCTATGTACCCGGGTTCTTCCTGACACAAAGTGTGAATGGCACAAACATTTACCTCTTTACATTTAAAATATCCACTTCTGTTTCATTCAAGACAATTATCAGATTTCGTTGACGTAATCTAGCTTAATAAAAAGTCGTAGAAGCGGCGCTGATGAATGTTGAAATTGTTCATAGTTGGTGAACAGTAATGGTGTAACAGGAAAGAGAATAGTGTGCTTCCACCGGGGATCGAACCGCGATCCCTAGGTTCCTGGTTCCTAGTTGCTAGCTCTACCACTGAGCTAAAAGGAAATTCCTCTAGCTCGAAGCTAGAAGGCGACCGTAATCATATTTACAATTAAAATCTGCCACAATGGCACACTGCTTGAAATTCAGTTGGACACTACATATTGGTATAATGGATAAGATATCCATTTAGTCTTAGAAGCTCTAGGGGTCTACATATGTACCCAAAAAACAGAACTTGAAATCCAGTTGAACTGAGACGTTCTTCTATCAAGAACAAGGTAATTAAGTTAATAAAGCTGGCAATGAAGAAATCGCTGATGTGATGAAATAATTAATAGTAATTTAAATTAAGAGTGATTGTGTTTGTAGTACTTACTCATAACGTCATAGGTGGAAGTCGTCTTGTAAAACGTCGGGTAAAATCCTGTCCCAATACAAAACAAACTTTCATACAAATGGCCGAGGACAAGTTTGTTTATCGTATTATGACGTCACAATACTGGTAACGTTGACGCTGGTTTTGGTTTCCGCGCAAAAAGTCATGGTAGTAAAAATTCTCGGTCATTAACACGTTTGGAGAAATTGAAGGCCTATGGCATATTTGATTTAAACATATTTTTATTTGCATCTAATATACAGAAGGGATTGGGCACAAGTTGTCCAACTTATGTAAAGCCCTTTCCCTTGAAATAATGAAATATATATATACAAGAAGGCAATTTTTAAATTATTAATATTTTCAATTAAGTTTAGTGTTACTGACACAGAGATAATCTAGTGACTGTAAATAATAAACGCTTTATTATTAAATTGATTTTTAGAAAATTTGATGAACACCTATAACTAACACAAAACAATTGATTAAAAATGGAGTCAAATTAACGTAGGCGCACCGCATCCCTTTCTTTGCAATACCAGGGATGTGTAGTGGTCCACTACACATCCCTGGCAATATGTAGATATACGATTGGAATTGACAAAAAAAATGCACCGGTACAATAATTTATACTCAAAATGAGCAGCAACCCGTGTGTGTTTTTTTTTTACTCCCAGTCATAAAACTTGAAAAGTTTTTATTCATTATGCAATCCAAGGAATGTAGAACATGATAAATATACACACCACTTCTAAGAATAAGTCTCACAAGGATGAGTAATTTATCAATGAACCACCTGATCAGATATATAATGTGCATAGCATGGTCCAGCATTATTTGCCTCGTTTCTGACTTTCATCTTTCGAGTGATGCAGTTGTACTGATTGTAGTTTGTATATAATGTGACTCTGTGACAGTACCTACGCATTTCATTTATTAATATTTTTCTTGAAATTGATCTTTATACCAGAGACGTAATATATACGTCTCTGCTTATACATTTCCCCGTTATCTCGCCTGAGGACATTGTTGTTAAATTGTCATCTACACCAAATGCAATCTACATACTAACTTCAGGTACCCCATTGCCCACCTGCTGACATCCCTTTGATGTCATACCTGTATACAGGTATATAGGTATGTCTTGGGCCTCCTGCTGTCAGTACTGGACACAGGCGTTTAGTGTTATTTACCTGTACACAAACGTATGCTAAGGGAGTGGATCGAGATGATTTTCATTATTTAACTAAGATGTTAAACTATAACTTGACGTTGTGAATGCTACATGTATAGGGAGAAACACAAATGTTTGAATCTCGTAATTGAATTAATTTTTTGGGATACATGTAATCACGAGATTAGATTATACAAGTCCGTGATCTTATTTAGTATCACATGCATAGGTACTGTATTATATACAATTAAATGTGTAACTGTCGGTATTTTGCTGTTTATTTGAATTGTTGACCCAGAGACGTATATACTATGTCTCTGGTTGACCTAACATAAGGAAGACACAGTGTCGTCGATTTGTCATTACTAAACATATTGACATTTAAAAACAGTAGACACCAACGTTGAAGTTATTTTGTAAACATTGTTCACTGATGTATTTTTGGACCGTAGAGGTACCACAGTATATAAATTTGCAAAATAAATATTCCGGCACAGAAACTGGTCACGACGTTGTGCTGTTCAATGACAGGATTGGATTGGTTTTTACTGTAGAGCAGAGACATATGAAGAAGTATATACGTCTCTGTGTAGAGTAAAGAAACTTATTGCAAACTGACTTTCAAGCTAAATTATCTTTGATCGACAACATCGAGACTATTTCTGTTTAATTTCCCTCAAACTCGTTCATTCGAGAAAAAAATCTCATCAGCGCTCAGAATCAGGACATACAATGCTACCAGTCTATGTTACCGTATTCAGAGTCGTCAGTTTGGTTTCTTCTTCTTCTTCTTCTTCTTCTTCTTCTTCTTCTTCTTTAGGTTATCAGTATTCCTTTAGTGATCTGAAGATTATTTACTGTTTTGCGCAGCGTGGCCTATATATATATATTTACAAGAATACAAAAATAATGAAATGAATGGATTTGGAGTGCATAAATTAAATTGTGATTAAAACTATGTACATAGGCTTATAATAAATTAAATGAATTTGAGTAAAAAAGCTGATGTGAGCTGTTCTCTGAAAGTGTCGACTGTTGTGACAGTGACTGTATGGATCGGTAATAAATTCCATTGAGTTATGGTATAAGGAAAAAATGAAAATTTATATGTATCTTTTTTGGTTGAAATATGTATGAAAGTGAAATTATGATTTATGCGGGTTCTACTGTCTGATGGTATGAGAATAGCAGATGGGATTGCTACGATTTGATGGACTATTTTGTAGAACATTATTAATCTTGTGCGTAGTCTTCTTTCTTGTAGTGTTGGCCAGTTTAATGAATGTATTATATCTGTAGGACTACTGATGTTATGGTACCTGTTACAGACATATCTGTAGGACTACTGATGTTATGGTACCTGTTACAGACATATCTGTAGGACTACTGATGTTATGGTACCTGTTACAGACATATCTGTAGGACTACTGATGTTATGGTACCTGTTACAGACATATCTGTAGGACTACTGATGTTATGGTACCTGTTACAGACATATCTGTAGGACTACTGATGTTATGGTACCTGTTACAGACATATCTGTAGGACTACTGATGTTATGGTACCTGTTACAGACATATCTGTAGGACTACTGATGTTATGGTACCTGTTACAGACATATCTGTAGGACTACTGATGTTATGGTACCTGTTACAGACATATCTGTCGGTGGACCATCTCGATTTTAGAAGTTTGTTCAACTGTGTGAGGGTCCCATACTGTACATGAATATTCCAGTTTTGGTCGAACTAGCGGCAGATATGCCTGAGTCTTGATGTTCTGAGATGATGTTTTTAAATTTCTTTTTAGGAAGCCTAAAGATTTGTTGCCATTAGCTATAATGTTGTCTGTATGTTTTGACTATTTTAAGTTTGCTTGTAGTGTAATGCCCAGATATTTAGCTGAAGAGACCAGTTCAAGTTTGTGATTGTGGAGGATATAGTCATGTTTAAACTGTTTTTTCTTTTGTGAGACTGTAAGGACTGTGCATTTGTCTGGATGGAAAGCCATCAAGCATACCGCTCCCACCTAGCAGCTGCATCTAAATTCAACTGAAGTGCATCACAGTCACTTTGGGATTTGATGGTTTTGTAGATGATACTGTCATCGGCAAACAGTCTGAGCTTACTGGATGATAAGTTTTCTGGTAGATCATTAATGTATACCAAGAATACTGGGCCCAGAACTGTGCCTTGAGGGACACCTGAGGTGACTGGAGCCAGGTCAGATGACTCTCCATCCAGGACAGCTGTTTGTGTTCTGTTACTTAATATAAGAAGGCAGAGACCCAGTTTCACTTAAACTCACTGTCTGGAAATTCTGGCAAGTTTTATATGACTTGATACCATCTACATAATGTTATCTTCAGCATAATCTGATTTCTCATTTTTTTTTTATTAATTCGCAATCTAACGCTGTTTGGTGATGGCTGTTCTCCCTTCGATGGTGACCGCTACATGCGTTGAACTTGAGACGTCACAGCCGATCGGGGCCAAATCTCCGCGAATTACGAGTATGTTAATGAGTAGAAGAAGGACAGGTGACAATCATACACTGTACCCGTCGATATCTCGGTATTGGGATGACCGATTTTAATGCGGTTTTCGACATTTTTGTGTTTGGATCATATAGAATAATAATATATTCATTTCTATTTTCGTTCAGGGTACACGCTGATCTACGGTACTCCAGAGCTATAAGATAATGATAAATTCTCTTTTTAGACAGGGTTTCATGTTTAGATTTAGATCTAATTTACAATATGGCCGTGTAATGCACACTTTACAATGGACATAAACACGATACAAAAAATGACATATACAATATAAATAAATGATAATATCACATATGCAGATCCTGACAAGTTAAAGTATAAAACTATTCGTCGCATCTAAAACAGTTTCTACCGGTAATCCTTCTAAAAAGACACAAACTATGTACAAATATGAGTGAGCTTTCTTAATAAGTCCATAAAATGCCCACATAGTAACTAAACATAAGCTGTTCTACATTTTTCCACATAAAGTTTTTTGCTGTTAAAAAAACGTGTTACGTGTAGTTCTATTGGAAACTTGGTTAGCAAAGGTAAAATATTGATTAAGAACAGGTACAGCTTAGGCATGTTAAATCTTAAACAAAAGTATGCATTTCCTTAAATCATAAAATGTCTGCAACAGGAGCCATCGTAATAGTTGTAAAAGTACAGAGGTTGGGGTAGAAAAACCTATAACTTAAAGAACTAATCTTGCTGCCGATTTTTGAATAATACAGTTTGTTTAAATATTCCATATTAGATGGAGTACGCCATATCTCAGAACAGTATAAGTGTGGTAAAACAATGCTATTGTACATGTTTTACCATACAGATGGACATAAATGGTCTTACACGTTTAAAAACACCAATCTGCTTGGCTATTTTCTTACATACATACTCTTTATGGTTCTTCCAGCTCAAACATTCATCGATGAACACACCTAGAAGTTTGGCACTACAGCTGTATGTACAGTTTCAACGACATGCCCGTTGATCTCGAGATTAAGTTTTATTATCTTTGCTAGCTTTTGGGATGAGCCAATCAGCATGCATTGGGTCTTATTCAGTGTCAGACTAAGTTTGTCCTGATCCATCCACTCAACTGTACGCTTAATGTATGTTGTTACATGCCGGGAGCTTCCACTACACGTGTAGTCCAGTGCTTCCACTACACGTGTAGTACAGTGCTTCCACTACACGTGTAGTCCAGTGCTTCCACTACACGTGTAGTCCAGTGCTTCCACTACACGTGTAGTCCAGTGCTTCCACTACACGTGTAGTACAGTGCTTCCACTACACGTGTAGTCCAGTGCTTCCACTACACGTGTAGTACAGTGCTTCCACTACACGTGTAGTCCAGTGCTTCCACTACACGTGTAGTACAGTGCTTCCACTACACGTGTAGTCCAGTGCTTCCACTACACGTGTAGTACAGTGCTTCCACTACACGTGTAGTCCAGTGCTTCCACTACACGTGTAGTACAGTGCTTCCACTACACGTGTAGTCCAGTGCTTCCACTACACGTGTAGTACAGTGCTTCCACTACACGTGTAGTCCAGTGCTTCCACTACACGTGTAGTCCAAGTCCAGTGCTTCCACTACACGTGTAGTCCAAGTCCAGTGCTTCCACTACACGTGTAGTAGAGTGCTTCCACTACACGTGTAGTAGAGTGCTTTCACTACACGTGTAGTCCAGTGCTTCCACTACACGTGCAGTCCAGTGCTTCCACTACACGTGTAGTCCAGTGCTTCCACTACACGTGTAGTACAGTGCTTCCACTACACGTGTAGTCCAGTTTCTGGCAGTGGTTCGAGGTTCGTTAAGGTTCAACAAGCCCCTAACAGATGTAATAGTCATCCCAAATGTCAACCCTCTGGCAAGTCAAATACCCTTATCACAAATTGGAATTTATATATGTAATTTAAATATATTGAACTTGTACAAGAGCTATTAAAAAGGTACATAACCAGGTTAACGAAGTCAAAATACGCCATTAAGGCTAATGTAATGATAAAAGTTGCACACCAGATTTATAACATGTCAATCCCTTAAGCAACCCAACTGAAGGTTACGAAATGACATGTTATTTGAAGATCATTTATATACCTAGGTCATGCGGGACTTTATTTCTCTTTAACTACTGTATGTGTGGAGATGTATATACCGGCTGTTGACTGTTGCTATGTGAAAGTACAAACATCATAGTAAAACGTCCGCGTCACATATTTTACCGGTATATATGTGCAAATCCATAGACCTTTGACCATTAACACTACTTAACTTCAAATAAAATGTCCTTTCTTAAAATTCTAAACTGTTATAAAAGAGCTAGACTTGTTATAATCATTATCGTACTCTTCAGCTTCAATGTTTATAACATGTCTAGCGCATTCATAACACCACAGAATGTTAGCAAATGGCACATCATCTAAAGTTTATTAATCGATCAAGGTTACTTAGCCTTTGTTTTCTTATTTATAATTTGTTAGAATGTATTACCAGGGGATTTTACTATGATTTTAGTGGCTTCGCATGGCAACACCTTTCTTTTTTTCAGGTCGGAATTCCTCTCAACAGCTAGTAGAAGAGAAATAAAGTTCTGCATGACCTAGGTACATGTATATAAATAAACTTTAAATTATAGGTCATTTCGTAGTATTCAGCTGAGTCGTTAAAGAGATTGATATGTTGTTAGTCCGGTGAGCTATTTTTATGAAGACATTAGCCTTAATGCCTTATTTTTGACTACGCTAACATGGCGTTGTATTTATTGTTTAGCCAATGTACAAGTTCAATATATACAAATAACATATATAAGTTCTGTAAGGCTTGTTGAACCTTAATTATAAACCATACAATAAGCAAATTATATATGGATACCTCGATTCATAAGAAAATCCTCAGTACATGTGTACTAGGTATTACTAGGTCTGGATCCATTCCGTCTTGATACAGTTTGAAAACTACTACCAGCGGTCCATGATAAATGTTTCTCTATGTGTAACTACAGAACATGTATAGGCCAGGGCGTATAATAATAAAAATATAATTTGGTCCATGATTTCGGTATGTAAAATGCTATGTATAAAGACAATAGATACCAATTACTTTCAGTAAACTGCATGAATAGTGTTACAGGTGAAAGATACTTGACTAGGATGGGCCCAGGCTAACAGGATCAAATTGTCAAAAATTATCAAATTTCCATTTTATTTATGTTTCTAATTTCGTATTACTGGAGGTACTAAAAACGTTGTATAACTTCTTTGATATTGGAAAACAACCGTAACGGTTACATCTATTGGTGTAATATTGCCGAAAACAGCGGGAGGATATCTTGTATCGAAACTGAAAGTAGAAAATTAGATACGAGTTGTCTCCCCTTGATCGGAAATCTTTTGCGGAAAGTAAATTTTGACTGATGGTTATTTGACATTAGATACGATTGTTATTGGATATATATCAGTCATGCACAGACGGGGACATGGAATTGGCGCAATTAAGAAGAAAGATTTGGCTCAGGTATGTGTTTAGTACTGACGCCCAGATGATGGACGGAATATATGGCATATGATAAGTGATTTGTGGTCATCATGTGCAGCACACTGGTAACGGTTTTAATCACAAGGACCTGACCATTCGTTTCAGCTATATTTGGACCTAAACTAAGGTGTTCAGAGTAATTTACGTTTTAGTGGTTTAGATCGACTTTCAGTAAAAATGACCTCCCCAATAATCATATAGTGTGCACCGTCATAAGCTGCAATATTTATATCATGACAGGTACATACTGTAACATATTGTGGGAGGGTAGGTTGTTTACTTCTCACATTTGTATTACTTTGTTAATTATAATTGTTGTTTATGATTTAGAGACAGGGCTCTGTTACTTTCTGTGGTATTCACCCTTATGTAGGGTAGGGCTTTTCGTTCAGTGTAGGATTCCTGGCGATCAGCTGCTACGATACCGGTGCTGAAATCTGTGTGTTTTCACTTTTGAGACGGCAAGAAGTGGGTGATAATAATAACAGGAATAGGTTACCGCTCCTTGCTCACATGCTTTTAGATGGTGAGGCTGGGTTCAAGATTAACAGTTGATCTCTCATCTTCGAGGCTATTTGGTGGGGGCCGAGCAGGGGGTATATATAAAACAGCGGGTCCGGGCAGGGATCAAGGTCTTGACAGGGTCGGTGAACCGACCCACAGCTTCATGTGAGGCAAACCTTACTGCTTCATGCGCTGCTGACAGTGCAACCTAGGTCAAGGTGCTGCTAACAGTACCAATACCGTAGGACTACATGAAGTTATCGTTCCTGGGATATATAGAGTGCTATAGGAACTACAGTACATGTATTAAGGGATAGTCAGGGGCTTCGGGCTTAGGCATCGATACATGGTGGTTCGCTGTAGATCTATAGGGAGCTAGGAGCACGTGGTTGTAGTCTACTGGTAGTACTGTTTGGTAGGATAGGCCATTACTCTACATACATAGGGATAGGGTTTCTTAACATTAGTTGTCATTGTTTGGCACTAATGCTATGCTTTGTATTTGTGAAACTTGTTGTACATATTCATTCCGTCTTGTTAATAAACAGTGAGTTACTTGTATTTTAAACACCTTGTTGAGTTATTGAATCAATTGCTTGTATTACCACTACGTCCAGTGTTCGAACCTGTAGTGAAAACAGGTCTGTAACCTGAGAAAGAGGCGAGGTCTAGAGAGGACTGCAGGGGAAGTTGTCGACTCGTTACCATTGCTAAAAACTATACGATCACGAAACGGATTTAACGGAGTGACAACGGATGCAAAACCCTCTCCGGACCTCCCCCTATTACAATATAATGTTAATATATCAATGAGATAGACATTTTGAAATAATTCCCAGTAATGTTGTCCACTATATCTTGCATTTAATCTGTTTAAAAATACCAACAAATTAAAAACAATATGTATTTTCAGGCTCGTTACAAGGACAAGGGGTCAGAGATAGCAGAGGACCAAGTGTCACAGGTATGTATTGTCAATCCATGAATATTGCAATAAAATCTGTTTTATACTCAGTATAAGTGTAAAAGATGTGGATTAATTAGGTTGCCTTACAATCGTCAGCTGTAGGGAATTTCCCTTTAGCTCGGCGGTAGAGCATCGGGCTGGAGAGCCAAGGGTCGCGGGTTTGAGCCACAGCGACGGCACTATCTTTATCACTTTTTCTCGTCCTATTACAAATTGGTGCCGGTGACCCTCCCCGTTCAAGGTAGTAGAACCCTTGGCAGGGAGTCAAAGAACCTGGGTTGGTGTTTGAAAAAGGTGGGGATAGTGTAAAAGATGTGGATTAATTTGGCACTATCTTTATCACTATTTCTCGTCCTCGACCTCTCTTCCGAAATAGGTCAGACGTCTATATACCATTGAACATGGCGGCATCAGTAGTAATACTATACTTGGCCATGCCGGCCAATATAGAAAGGATCATTGAGATAACATCACACATGATCTGTCATGGCGGTCGTTTCTATTTTTTCCCCCAAGAGGGACTTGGCTAATTTCGTGAAAGAGTTTTTTTCATTGATAAGGATTCGTTTTTTCAACAATTATTTTGATAACATTTTACTCATATGAGGCGTGAATTATATGTAATCTTACAGATGAGCACTTTTGATTTTGCTCCATTAGTTGGCATAGGACCGCTTCGTAGCTCTGACAATGCAATATATAAAACAATCTCTCGTTGTCAGAAAGCTATGTTATCGCCGCTACATAGACAATAGGTCAATGTAATATCAATTTCTTATACATGTAGACCTACTGAATTTTATGGATGAGATCTTGACCAAGACATTTTTTTGTTACATATTTAGTGCTTTAATACAATATGAAATTAAGAAATTTGTAATTTTACACAATAGTTTTCCTAACTGCAAGACTTACCATTGAATCATACGTATACACATCACTGGAAATGAAATCAAAGAAAACTTGGTCTATGAAGTCGTTTTTGAATTTGTCAAAATCTAAATGGGAGCTAGTACTCGAAATATGAAATTGTACATCCCTGTCAGAATATATAGGACACATTGAAATAAAACTCAGTATCTATTAGTTTAAGAGATATTGTGGAAATCTCAGTATCTATTAGTATAAAGGAAGTTTCATAAAGATTACGGTAATCTTATCACGAATGATAAAAGAATGTTTTGTAAGGTATACCATATAGGAAGAAATGTTTTATATCCAGAAATGATTAAAACAATATTAATTGTTGTTTTGTTTTTCGAACAGATGGCAAAACAAATGGAGAAATTTAAGGAACATCTAGAAGATTTTGCTGTCAATCACAAAGAGGACATAAAAAAAGATCCAGAGTTCCGGGTCCAGTTCCAGAACATGTGTGCGTCCATAGGAGTGGACCCACTGGCATGTAAGTATACTGATCAACTGTCATCTCGTTTAGTGTCAGCTGTCATATCCCCACATATACCACACTTAATTTTTCACTCATTTAAAACACTTTATTAATAAATTGATTGAGGTGTGAAAGATTTATCCAACAAACACAACAATTCAGTGTTCCAATTTATCAAAGATCCATAGATGATCAAGATACTTTACTCCGCTTGTTCCAGTCTACTCAGCTGTAAATGAGTACGTGGTTGGGCAGTGCTAGTATTGTTGAATGCTAACTGTGAGCGCCGAAATGGCAGCACTGGCTGTATGCTCCCCAGGGAGTTGAGAAAGATATTGACTGGTTGCAAAAGGCCTTATAACCACGGACAATAAATTGTGAACCGCTTTGAGAAGACCTACGAACTAGGTTGTGATAAAGCGGTATATAAGAACCTCGAATTGTTATTATTATTAAGTTATCTATTAAGTTATTTCTTATGATGTGTAAGATTCGACAAGTATAGTAGAGAGGAAAAGATGTTCTGTAAGGTGTTCTTTGTAGCCTCTATTATAACATATATTTAGTGGTTATTAGTTACAATTTATAAGTAATTAACATTTTCATGGTCATCATCTGGTCTATGAAAATTTCAGTAGGTCTATCACAAATCTATATCATTAAATTATGGTCTTTGATGTGTAAATTCTGAATTTTAAGACTACTACATAGAGAAAGACTACCAGTTAAAGTGTTATTTTAAAACCCCTCTCTCTATGCTGAGACATTGTACATATTCTGTACTACATATGACAAATTCAAAGATCATGAATAGGTATTTGATTAGTTCCAGACATCAAAAACTAACCATCTTAATATCAAATGTATGACATAACATATTACATGATATTATAAGATATTTAAGAAATGAAGACCTATACTTTGTGAAGTTTGTGATTTGTAGAGTTTGGGTTTTATGAGGGTTCACTCCAAAAAACAGGTTAAGTTGAACCCATTGAAGAGGATGTACCTATTCAGGGTTTTGGCTTATTTACGGATCTTCCTTCACTAATCCACAGAGTCTGGGGTGATTGATACCTATGAAAATTTGAATAGGCAGGATATGCAAATCTGGTATATATATTTAGATAAATATTTCAATTTACAGCTTTGCATAATATATATAAATAATCATTCTTTCTGGGAGAAATATTGTCATGTTTATGTAGGTTAACTAACTTTCCTTCTGTTACAGCCAGCAAAGGATTCTGGGCAGAGATGTTGGGGGTCGGTGACTTTTACTACGAGATTGGTGTTCAAATCATAGAAGTGTGTATTGCTACTAGTCACAGGAATGGAGGTAAGTCACTATTGACCGTACTATATGTATATAGCCACTAACCACAGGAACGTCGGTACATCAAGACTAACTTAAATCAAAATATAGTCACTAGTCTCAGGAATGGAGGTAAGTCACTAATGACCATACTTTATGTATATAGCCACTAACCACAGGAATGGAGGTAAGTCACTATAGACTGTGTGTACTCTGTAAATAGCCACTAACCACAGGAACGTCAGTATATCAAGACTAACTTAAATCAAAATATAGTCACTAGTCACAGGAATGGAGGTAAGTCACTATAGACTGTGTGTACTCTGTAAATAGCCACTAACCACAGGAATGTTGGTATATCACGACTAACTTAAATCAAAATATAGTCACTAGTCACAGGAACATTATTACTAAAGAATGACTTAGTACATAAAGTGCAATAACTCAGGCATGTGGTAGGCCCTCGCCGATCTTTCAGCTGCCAAACAGGAGGCCCTCGCCGGTCTTTCAGCTGCCAAACAGGAGGCCCTTGCTGATCTGTCAGCTGCCAAACAGGAGGCCCTTGCTGATCTGTCAGCTGCCAAACAGCAGGCCCTCGCCGATCTGTCAGCTGCCAAACAGGAGGCCCTTGCTGATCTGTCAGCTGCCAAACAGGAGGCCCTTGCTGATCTTTCAGGTACATGGCACCCACATGGTAGGCTGATCTGTAGGGCACACAGCAGGCCCTCGCTGATCTGTAGGGCACACAACAGGCCCTCGCTGATCTGTAGGGCACATGACACACACATGGTAGGCTGATAAGTAGGGCACACAGCAGGCCCTTGCTGATCTGTAAGGCACACGAAAGGCCCGTGCTGATCTGTAAGGCACACAAAAGGCCCTTGCTGACCTGTAAGGCACACGGCAGACCCTCGCTGATCTGTAAGGCACACGACAGACCCTTGCTGATCTGTAAGGCACACAACAGGCCCTTGCTAATCTGTAAGGCACACAACAGGCTCTTGCTGATCTGTAAGGCACACAACAGGCCCTCGCTGATCTGTAAGGCACCCAACAGACCTGCGCTGATCTGTAAGACACACAACAGGCCCTTGCTAATCTGTAAGGCACAAGACAGACCCTCGCTGATCTGTAAGGCACACGACAGACCCTCGCTGATCTGTAAGGCACACAACAGACCCTTGCTGATCTGTAAGGCACACAACAGACCCTTGCTGATCTTTAAGGCACACAGCAGGCCCTCACTGATCTGTAAGACACACGACAGACCCTCGCTGATCTGTAATGCACACAGCAGGCCCTCGCTGATCTGTAAGGCACACGACAGACCCTTGCTGATCTGTAAGACACACGACAGACCCTCGCTGATCTGTAAGGCACACAGCAGGCCCTCGCTGATCTGTAAGGCACACGACAGACCCTCGCTGATCTGTAAGCACACAGCAGGCCCTCGCTGATCTGTAAGACATACGACAGACCCTCGCTGATCTGTAAGACACATGACAGACCCTCGCTGATCTGTAAGCACACAACAGACCCTCGCTGATTTGTCTGTGTTCTAGTTATTGACCTTTCTGCAATGCCATTGTAGAATTTTACAGATAAGAGGTGGAAGATAAGGACTCGAACATTACGTAGGTAAGAGAGAATAATGCATATCCTTCATACCTAGACTTGATACATGTTAATTATTGAAATGTTTTAAGGTAAAACAACGAACTCTGATCATATACATGCAGGTATGTGAAATTAGTGATTTTGATAGAAAATAGGGGACTTCATATGTCTTGAAATATTTAGCTTAATTGTATACTTTAAAAGCTGGTATTATTGTTTTTCAAATTTATCAGGAAATGAAAAGATGATTGTGATACTGTTCAAAAGTGTTGTACCAGAATGATGCTGCTTTAACTTGTAAAACGACTCACCATTTCCTGCTCCCTGTGGTTTGACAACCTATAAAATAAATTCAGGGTAATGAATACTACATTTATACTGTGCTATGTACTAAGAAATGTGAGGAATAGTAGAAGTTATCTCCCTTGAATATGAGAACAAGCAAAATGGTTCACGTCATAAAGAGTTATCTTTCTTGCAACTGATTGAGTCATCTGATGCTTATCCATAGCATATACCATTCAAAAACAGAAAAATATTTTGCATATCTTGTACTTTCTATATTAGATTTTGATATTTCTGATTAATCCCAATAGAACTATGAATACGACAATTATATAATATAAAAAAAATATGGGTCAAAGAAGTTATATAGACGGTAAAATCCCATATAACACTGGATCCTAATGGAGGTATGTCCGTAGGATACAAATTACTTAAACTATTATATAGGGCAAAGAAGTAATTCAGTGTTGGAATTACTTCTTTGCCCCATATAAAAAAATATATATACATCATCAGAGTATCATATCAAGAAAAATATTGATTTAATTAAGGTATAAAATAGAACTACATATATATGAATTAAAAAAACCCATTGTACACAAGTTTTTAAATTATAAATTGGTATATTGGTTAGTTTGAGTTGTGCCAGGCAAGATTACAATGCTGAGTCAAACATTTTTTTCTCCACAAAACAACAAAAATAAGAAACTACAGTTGGTCGGTCATTTTTAATTAGCACCCATAAACAGTCAAGTTAATTTAAGGAATACCTCCATTTGTGTGATGTAGGTGGATGTGTATGTATGTTGAAGTATCGGCATGCCTCCTTGTGATAGCTTGATAATAATACTGACCTTAAAGTGCCACCTCACTAAATTACCACGAGGAATTAATGCACCCAGCACAATACTCCACATGGTCACATTTTGTTTACAATCATGGGTACACCATTTGTTGGGCTTGCCCTAATAATGATAATTTAGTAGGCAACTGTCGACAACAACTACCATTTTTAGCTCATCGTGACCCTTTGGGCCAGGTGAGCTTATGCCGTGGCGCGGCATCCGTTGTCTGTCCATCGTCCTGTGTCAATATTTTACTTTAAACGACTTCTTCTGAATAACCAAAAGGCGCAGGATGATGATATTTGGACAGAAGCAAACTAGGATGAAGGCCTACCAAGGTTGTTCAAATAAATGACCTTCACACATATTCAAGGTCACAGGGGTCAAATATGTTAAAAACTTCAAACAACTTCTTCTGAATAACCAAAATGTCCAGGGTGATGATATTTGGCCAGTAGCATGCTGGGATGAAGGGCTACCAAGTTTGTTCAAATGAATGACCTCCATCCATATTCACGGTCACAGAGGGTTAATTGTCTTAAAATACCTTTGAACAGTTTCTTCTGAATAACCTAAATGACCTGGATGGTATATTTGGTCTGTAGCATGCTGGAATGAAGGAATACTTAGTTTGTTCAAATAAATGAACTTCGCCCATATTCAAGGTCACAGAGGTCAAATATGTTTGAATCTTTAAATGACTTCTGAATAACCATGAGGCCCAGAATGTTGATATTTGGCCGTTAGCATGCTTGGATAAAGGGCTACCAAGTTTGTTAAAATGAATGACCTTGACTCATATTCATGGTCACATGGGTCAAAATTTTAAACAACTTCTTTTGAATAACCAAAATGCCTAGGATGTTGATATTTGGCCAGTAGCATGCTAGGATGAATGGCTACCAATTAATGACCATGACATTTGTTGGGCTTGCCCTTAATGTTGATCATTAAGCAGGGAACTGTCAACAACAACTACCCTTTTTAGCTCATCTGGCCCTTATGCTGTGGCGCGGCATCAGTTGTCTGTCTGGCGTCCGGCGTCAATATCTTACTTTAAACAACTTCTTCTAAATAACCAAAAGGCGCAGGCTGATGATATTTGGCCAGAAGCAAATTGGGATAAAGGGCTACCAAGTTTGTTCAAATAAAGGACCTTCACCCATATTCAAGGTCACACTCAGGAGTCAAAAACGTTTAAAATCTTGAAAACAACTTCTTCTGAATAACAAAAGGCCTAGGATGTTGATATTTGGTCAGTAGCATGCTTGGTTAAAGGGCTACCAAAGTTGTTCAAATGAATGACCTTGACTCACTTTCAACGTCACATTTAGTCAAATATGTGTAAACATTTAAATGACCTTATTAATCTCAAAAACCAAAGGTCTAGGGTGGTGATATTTTGCAAGTTACATGCCGAGGTGAAGGCCTATAAAGTTTGTTCAATGTAATGACCTTGTTCGATTTTCAAGGTCACATGGTTCAAATGTTTTTAAATCTTTTAATAGGTTCTTTTGAATGACTTATAGTCATAAATACTGATATTTTGCCTGTAGCTTTATTTAAGATCACTTTAAGGTTACAAGTGTGAGATTATTACCAGGTGAGCGTTGCAGGCCCATTGGGGCTCTTGTTAAGGAATTATGTATGTCCCAGCCTGGGGACAGAACCAATTGTTTTGTTAAATTCACATGGGAAAACAATTCAATGCAGTCAAAGTATGGGGATTCCAAGGGAGGCTTTAGGAAGTATCAAGATCGAGAATAGAACTAGGAATAAGACAGGGAAGGAAAAGATAAGGTCCAAACTAGACATAATATAAACTAAAACAACTTACAAATACAACAATAAAAGCAAAAGATAAGTAATAATATACTATTACAGTGGGTTTCTTTCCACTCAAATTCCTCTCTACAATGTGTGGGTAATGGAGTTGTCAGAGGTTTGGCGACAGGCACTGGTTCCTTTCCTCCTGAATCAAGGCAGATAAATCATGTATGACCTGTCAAAAGTTTAGTACGAATGGGTTAGGGTTAGGGTTAGGGTTAGGGGTAACCCTAACCCTAACCCTAACCCTAACCCGTACACAGACCAAGTGACCAACTCTTATTAAACTTGCAAGATAAAATGTCAGATGTAACACAGACTCCAGCTACACCATGGACTCTTCTGAAAATATGTTTACAACAAAAAAGATAACCAGGCATCCTGAGAACTTTTCTCATTTTGAAACCATGTATATTTAAACTGTGCAATTAAGCAGTGAGATAATACCACACTTTCCAGACAGGGAGTGACGTGATTAACAGGTAACACACACTGAGGCAAGGGAAAGTGATTAAACCTTGGGGAAATGTTATCCTTATTTAAGGTGAAATCTTGAAACTTTTTGCCAGTTTTGTGTCAACATTGAGGACGCATGTAGAAATCTAGCGCCTAACAGTCTACCTTATC